TAGATATAGATATAGATATAGATATAGATATAGATATAGATATAGATATAGATATAGATATAGATATAGATATAGATATAGATATAGATATATTCTTCACTGTATAAGGTTCAAGAAGTACAGATAAAAAAGCAATTACCTTAGCTCATTTCCCAATCCCAGCTTTCTACTGAGGGCAACTTACTGTTGAAGAGACTGATAATGCCCTAATCCCCCTGAACAGTCACCTTGACAACCATTAGGGACTTTCCACGACCCTGATTATCGCCCAGATATATAATGACTCCTGAATGTACATCCTAAACAAATGTTACCAGGTTCCCCCAACCCACTCCTGACAAGGATTCTTCACGGTCCTTCTGGTTTGTTTGTGGTTTGTTTCTCCTTTATAAATGCTCTGCCCCCGAGCTCTGAATCCCAGAGCTCTTGGTGGCCTGCTCTCTGTCACGGGCTTAAATAAAGGACTGTTATTTGGCCGTATGTGCATGGTAGTCTGTATTTTCTCGACTGGATTATAATACTGTTGCTAATCTGAAAACCCCCTTCTAGAACCATTTTTATACCCATAAAAGCAAACACATATAAAAATAGAATGTGTGGCTATATTTTGTGGGTTCAGTACCTTTTCACTCAAAACCAAAACCCATTCAAGTCATATACCGTAAGGGTCTGGGTCTTCTTCCACATGTACAAAACAAAACAAAACAAAACAAAAGCACTGAAACGTTGCTAGGCAACAAGAGAATAGGCTTCCACTAAGCAAGTTTAGGGAACATTGTCCCCTGGTGGCCAGTGAGGGATTTTAGATTTTAGGATCTGTGACTATTTTCAGCCAGAAATCACTGCACCGCTTTCGCTTCTCTTTTCCTCTGAGCGGTAGGCTGAGGATGAGAGCTTGCATCTTTTTTTGTGCTGTCCCACTGTTAGATGGAAGCATAAACGTGACCATTCAAGCCTTGCTGCTGTTTGTACAGCCGGACAAACTTGGAAACCCCCGGCCTCAGCTTTCACGATAAAGCCTCGATTTTAAAAATAATCCTGAGACAAACTACCTTAATGGATAAATAACGCGGTCATGGACCTTGAGCCGTCTGCAAAGGCATTAATTAGCGGCCTTGTATCCACGAAAACTAGGCTGCACCTGAGAGTTGGTTCTCTCTTTGTGGGTTCCGGGGATCAAATTCAGGTCACCGGGCTTGGCGACAGCACCTTTACCTGCTGAGACATCGCCCAGCCCTCACCTTCCTTATTTCATTTTTGAGAATCTCTCACTAAACCTAGAGCTCGACGTATCCATATAGACTGGCGAGCAGCCATCCAGCTCCAGGGATCCTCTGCACCCAGTAATGCGCCTTCCAAACACTAGGTGGCGCTAGAGTCCGAGTGCAGTCTAACCCTTTGAGCTCTTTTAACCATTCCTTGGGCACCGGCTGAGTGAATAAATCAACGGATTACAATTTGGGTGTATCTCCTTACAAAGGCCTAATTGCTTTGAAAATAAAATGTGTTTTGGGTAAATTAGATTTATTGCTGTAGTTAAAATATGTAATTATTTTGGAGATCTGTGTTGGTTTAGGGAAATGAATGATCTGCCTGATACCTAAAAGACAAAGCAATCAAGGAGCTAACTTTATAATTGTTGCTGTTATTGTTGTTATTAACTGATTTGAGAGAGGGCCTAATACTGTGGCTGGCCTAAAACTCCCTAGGTAGATCAGGCTGGCCTCAAACTCACAGAGAGCCACCTGTGTCTGTTTCCCAAATTCTGGGATTAAAGGTATGTGCCATAACGCCTGGCAAGAAGTTTATTCTACAACAAACCAAAAGTAGAGTAAGGAAAAGATGAAGCTCTTTTTTTTTTTTTTTCAATCAAATGACTATAATGACAACTATAATCAGAATTATTGACTAGGGAAATTTGATAAAAAGATAATTCTAATTTGAGCTAATAAACCTCTTACCTATACAAAACCTTAACAGTTAAAGACTATTACAACTATTTTTTATAATTGCTAATCATGTTGCAGATGCCAGTTTTCTTTTTTTTTTTTTTCTTCTTCGATACACACCTTTGCTTAAAGAGTAAGGATTTTTTAAAAAACCTATTTGGTCCAGTTTTCTATCATTTAACATTGTAGTTGTTCTTATCGGTCTCCAGATTTTCTGAATTTTGGGAAACCATTTCAGTATTATTTTAAAACTTTCTCTCTACCAGGGTGATGGTGGCACACACCTTTAGTCCCAGCACTCAGGAGGCAGAGGCAGGCCTGGTCTACAGCATGGGTTTCAGGAGAGCCAGAGCTACGCAGAGAAACAAAACAAAGCAACATTCTTTTACCCAGGCCTGAAATAATTGCAATCTGACACAAAGCCACATAGTCTGGTGAATAACTTTAAGAATCTACTCAATGATTTTACAGCATATAAATAAATAAATAAATGAAAGAGGAAAAAAAAGGAAATCTATTATGTAATCTCTCTTTTTGCTTGTTTTCTGTTTTTCTGAGGAGACAGGGTTTCTCTGTGAAGCCTTAACTGTCTTGCACTCATTTTGTAGACCAGGCTGGCCTCCAACCCACAGAGATCCGCCTGCCTCTTCCTCCCTGAGTGCTGGGGATTACAGGTGTAGGCCACAGAGCCCAGCAAGCTTTTGTTTCTTGTGGAGCTGTTTTTAGCCTTAGAAAATATGAAACTCAAAGTATTTTTTTATAGTTTCGTGTTTGTTTGTTGAGACAGGATAGATCTATGTACTCCTGGCTGTCCTGGAGCTCAGTGTTTGCAAGGGGCACAATTTAAAAAAAAAAAAAATCACTGACATGGCTGCTCCATGGGTAAGGGAAGGTTTTAGATTAAGAGAGAGAGAGAATAGCCAGAGGCATCTGGCAGAGTCGGTCATGGCTACCTCTCAGGGACAGAGAGAAAAGACAGAGAGAGGAGCAGCTATGGGAGCTGGGAAGAGAGCAAAACTGCTGGGAGAGTCCTGCTGGCTCAGTTAGAAGGGTTTTGCTGTGATGGAAGGGGGGTGGCTTAGCAAGCACAGCCTGGGAACCAGCATGGGACTCTGACCTGTTGGAGGCTTGTTAGAGTTGACAGAGATCTAGATGCCCTTTCCTGAAGTTGGGGGCCCGTGGGAGCGGATAAGAAAGTAATGGCTCTTCCTGGCAAACAGAAAACCACTTTACATGATTTCCGAGGAATGCTGAATATTTGCCCGGTCAGAGTCCAGCCTGAGCTGAGAGAAGACTGCCATCCTTGAACGGTTACGACCAGGCTGGGCTGGCCTCAGGCTGGCACAGAGAGAGAAAGCCCTCCTTCACCTGTCTCCCCAGGGCTGGGATTAAAGGCGTGAGCCACATGCCAGGCTCACAGTATTGACTGATACAAAATGTGTCAAAATATGCTGAGCTATTTTGCAGAGAGAAGCAAATGTTTGGTAACATGAAGTTGATAGAGCGGTAAATGTGTGAAGTGGGGGTTTCAACAGCACAGGCGTAAAGTAAGGACGTGTCCGCCCCATGGTCTGGTTTGGTTTTTATTGTAGCTACGAGGGAGGGTATACCTAGAGGCGTCTGGGAGAGTCCAGAACAGGGAGAGAAAGCAGTAGACTAAACATGGCCAGTGCTGTCACCTGCTTGACCCGCTTAAACTCTGCAGGCCCTCCATTGAGACCTGCTTTAGTTCCTAGCATAACTGTAGCTCCTCTGACAACACTTGCTGTCGCCTGTAACATATCAGAAGCCATTTTGCCTCCAGGTCTCTATTTTATAAGGTGAAATAGAGTTCAGATTCCTAGGCCCTACCTGCCTGAGACCAGAATACAAGTCAATGGTTCAACACTTGTGGTAGATGATAAATACATGTTCTGCTTGAGTTCAAGATAAATGGAAGTTCTATTTGCGTTAAGACCGCAACATCCTGCTATGTTCCTTTCTCCCGGAACGGTGGGGAACTGGAAAGCCCCCAAACCTATATCCCAGCTTTAAAATGCTTTGTCTAATTACCTAGATACAATATACTTGGAACAAAATCGATTATGTTCAGCTAGTCAAAATGATATATTGCTGCCCGCCCCCTTCCTACGCCTGGTTACCTGGTTACCATTGTGTTTGTTTGTTTGTTTGTTTATATAAAAAGCCTGCCTTAGAAACAGACCAGCATCACAGTCTGGTTATTTAGTGGTGTCTTGATCCCGTAACAGCCAGTATATACTGAATGAACGGGGCCACGGGAGGAGGGGTGGGGGACATCGAGGGAGGAAGAGAAGAGAGGAAGAAGAGAGAGAGAGCAAGAGAGGGGCTCAAGAGAGCTCGTCGCTGAAGTGGCTGGGTTATCTACAGGAATGAGAAGCCGGGAGAAGTCCATGAGCTAGAGTAGTTTAGAGTAGGAGGCAGGGTGAGAAGAGCTGAGGGGAGCCACAGACACTGAGTGTGCCTAGAGGCCAGCATGTGCTCTGGTCTGCTAACAGGAACCACAGTTAGACGTCTGTGCAGAGTTCCTTTTGGACCTGACAATAAAACAAGACATATTTATGGTCAGTGGACTCCTGGCATGACAAAGTGGAAATATAAGCGAGCACGCAGATGACACTGGCTTACTGACATTTCACTAGGAATATTAATTCCATAGGCTAAAATCCATAGTTTCTTGGTAACGTGAGTAGAGTAGTCTTCTGGTCATCGGCTAGTTTTGAGGACTGGATTCACACATATAATTGGTAAGGGGTTTTTTTGACAGGCAAGGGGGAAGTCTACTTAATAGAGATGGTGTAATAATATATTTAAAAATACCACACACAACAGATCTGTTAAGGAGAGATTTATTGTACGGAGGTGTAGAGAGAGAGACAGTGGGACAGTGGAAGAGCAGAGGAGAAGAGAGAAAAGAGGATAGGGAGAGGCGCTCCAGGAGAGAGAAGTCGGAGAGGGGAAGAGAAACTGAGGCAGAGAGAAAAGGAGGAAGGGGTAAAAGGTAGGGGCTTTTATTGCAGCCCCTTGCAGGCTACAGGGAATAATATCACAGGGACTAAGTAACCTAGAGGAAGGCTGCCTATAGGCTAACATTCCTCCCTTTTCCTACAATAAAAAAAAAAAAAAAATGAGGAGCTAGGGAGGGGCGGTTAGGCGGGAATGAGTACCTTAGGCTGCTTCTCAAATTATGCAAATTATGGTATATAAATGCAGGTTCATCGGAAGCAGCTCTTGGTCACCATGCAAGGGAGGGGGTGGGGAGAGAGAGAGAAGAGAGCACCAAAATGTCTGGATTATATGTTGAAGGGGAAGGGGAAGTCCCTGCCCTGGGAAGTTCAGGGTAGAGGGCCAGGTATGTCAGCCATGCTCCGCAGCAGATAGGGACTGAGGAATGCTGGGAGAACCTGGGGCTGTTTGCCTCAGTTCTGGAGCACACCATTTCAGCTTTTTGTGCAAAGTGGCTAATGTCTTTTGAAAAACAGGGGTTTGGATATGTTACAAATACATGTTTTTATTTTCCTTTAATAAACATTTTATCATTCCTTATTTTAAAATGTGATTGCATTATCTTATTTCATAATTAACTGTGTTTTTAAATTAAAAAAAAAATCACACCACAGAGCATTCAGAAAACACACAAGCAATAACATTGTATTAGTCAGCTTAAGCTGCTATGATCAGCTTCCACAAATTTATTTTCTCACAGTCTGGAGCCGGTGAGTTAAAGATGAAGGTGCTGGCCGGAAGGTCCCTGGATGGCCTTTTGTATCTTGCTGGTGGTCCTCCCAGTGAAAGACCCCAGCCTCACACTAAGTTAAACATAGCTAATGCCATTTTGTGAGACACCACTGTTTTGTAAAACTCTGAAGGCCAGATGAGAAACTGGAAAATCACTGAGAAATCCTAGCTGTGTCACCCACTTGGGATATCTGTGGTCAGGCTGCCCCAGTCATACTAAAAACAGTTTGTGTTAATCACTCTCATAGATATCTGTGAGACTGTTTCAGCTAAGATAGGGAAAAACAAAATAACAGGTGGCGGGCCACGTCAAGGGGTCATCCTACCCCCCTTGACCACCCAGTTCCTGAAATCTTGGTGCCCCTGCCAAACTTTGACGCAAATTGTGGTCTCGTGTAAACGTACCAATCAGCCCCCTGTAACCATGCCCTCTCGTTTCTGTACCAGTGCTTCTGCCTCTAAAACCCTATAAAAACCCCAGCTTCCCATCTAGGGGGGCGCGGAAGTCTTCCGAATGACTTTTCGCCCCGGGTACCCGAGTATCAAAATAAAAGCCTCTTGCTGTTTGCATCCGAATGGCCTCGTTGATCCTTGGGAGGGGGTCTCTCTGACGGAAGATACCCTCCGGGGATCTTTCACCAGTGTCTTTTACTCTTATAAGGACATGAGTCCTGGATTATGGGCCAACTTAACCTTCAAAGCCCTGTCTCTAGAGACTGTGACGGTGACATTCAGATGTCAGCCTGTGAACAATCATTAACAATCATTCCACCTCCACAACACAATTTTAAATATGTGCTTACACATTTTTGTGTGTACTATGTAAATTTTAAAGAGGATCCCATCAACTATTTTGCTTGGCACCTTGAATTTTTACTTAAAATACCAATCAATGCCTTTGGTTGGTAATAGCCTCGGGTGGTGAGAAAATGAATCAAACTGTACCAGAAAAGAGCCCCTGGCCATAAAGAATGTCTTAGCCTCAGCCTGACGGGTCGCTCTGGTATCCAAAACAATCCGTCCTGCTCCCAGTATAACTGCAAAAAAAATAGCTGTCAAGTTCTGTTGGCTACCTACCTTATGTCTCCAAGCCCTCTAAGTGAGCTCAACCTTCATCCCAGGGAAAGCTTTGGTCCCCTCGCTGTCGCAGTAAAGCACTTGAGATCAAGTCTGTCTGCTTCTCTGCCTGCTGTTTTTTCCCCCTTCACTTTTCATGTGAATAGATGTATTTCCACAATTTTGTTTGTTTTGGGTTTTTTGTTTTGTTTTTTTGCTTTTCGAGGCAGGGTTTAGCCTTGCTAAGGTGTAGCCTTGGCTGTCCTGGACTTGCTTTGTAGACCAGGCTGGCCTCAAACTCACAGTGATCCGCTTGCCTCTGCTTCCCCGAGTGCTGGGATCACAGGTGTGCGCCACCGCGCCGGCTCAAAAACAATTTTTCTGTTTTTGTTTGGTATGCTGAGTATTGCTTACTAACCAATTCTCTCTTGCTGGCATTTGGGTTTTCTTGTTCCCATTAAAGTTTTGAACGTATTTAATCCTAGCAGTCAGGGAGGAGGTGGATCACTGTGAGTCAGGCCAGCCTGATCTACAAAGCAAGTTCAGGACAGCCAAGGCTACAAAGGGAAACCCTGTCTTGGGGAGGGGGTCTTTGAACAGGTGTGTGCGCTGGGGCCAGTTACATACGCACTTCCTTGACTGTCCCTTGGGATGAAGGCTAAGAACTTCTGATTTGGTTGCAAAGGCACAGAAGTTTACAACGCTTTTAAATACCTATCACCGACAGCCGCTCAAGAAGACTGCATCAGTTGTTCGCATCCGTGTTTTTGTGCAGCGCTACTCTCCATACCCCTAGCAAGTCTGTTAAACCATGAGTCTGTCCATTAATCCCAGCACTCAGGAGGCAGAGGCAGGCCAGTTCCAGGACTGCCAAGCGCTGTACAGAGACACCCTGTCTGGGTCGGGGTAGGGGGCCGGGGGAGAAGGAAAGAAAGAAGGTCTTATCTATTTAAATTTTCTAGCTGACTTCTTAGGGAAGGGGGAAAAAAAATACCCCGGTTGCACAAAAACCAACGTTTTGTAATACCTTTTTAAAGTGTGCAACTGCGATTTCAGGCGCCTGAGTTCTCCCTTGGAGGATTTAGGGTAAGGAAATGAGAAGTTCACAGTGTAGTTTCTGGGTGTACTGCGTTAACCGTTAATTCCCGTTTAAGAAAATTTTAAAGTCTATTAAAAAAAAAAAAAAAGTCCTTTTGTATCAGAAATGCAAATGTTATCAGGAGGTCTGAGAGTTCCGAGCTCAAGGTAACAAGGGCACTGGGAAAGCACCCGACTACTCCCGCGCGTGGTTGACTGGGCTCCGATGGACACCAAGCTTGCTGGAGGACCCGGGGGGGCCGCCAGCCGTCCCACAATGCCCCGCTCGCGCCACCCGACCGGCGGCGAGAAAGGACCGCTGCCAGGGCCGCGGAGACGGAGCGCTCCCGAGGTGCGCCTGCGCGCTGACCCCGGCGGGCCCTAGCAACCGGAGCAGTGACGGTAGCAACCGCCGGAATGGTGCGTACCCTCCGGGCCTCGCAGCCGAACCCGAGAGGGCATCGGGGGTGGGAAAAAGGGGGTGACCGTGGGGTGTGGAGGGCGGCGGGGCGCTGGCACCGCGCGAAGCGGGAGGAGGGGAATGCTGGCTCCCGGGAGCCGCAGGCCCGAGGCGGGAGCAGCCCGGGCAGGGGGTGGTCTGCGGAGAGGGAGGCCGGAGGCTGACAGGAAGTTGGGTTAAACTAGACGGACTCTTGACAGAAGAAAAGGGAAGGCAGCTGGGAATTCTCCGAGAAGCGGGTCGGTGTGGGGAAGGCGACAGGACGGGCGCCCTGGCGAAGAGAGATCTCTTCGTACGGCCGTGATTTTAACTCTCCTCAAGCCCTGGTTGGATGGAGGGGTCGGGGCTGGACGCGGAGAGCTCCAGCCTCCGTGGCTGTGCTGTGCCCTGGTGCCCTCGTGGTGAGGGGGAGTCCTGTTATCAGGAGACGCTGTTAAAGCTCTCTCTCTGATGGGTATATTGGACCAGCGTTCCTAGCGTGTGTGAGATCCTAGGTTGGTTGGCTTTCTAGCAGTGCACAAGAAAAGAAAACCACTGACAAAACAGTGTAATTAGCAGGTGTGTGTGCGCGTGTGCGTGTGCGTGTGTGTGTTTCCAGTGCTACGTCAATGCACAGAAGTTAAGGCTAGGGTATTAAAATCATGAAGAGCTCATGTACTCCCTCATACTGCCTGAATATGGGCCTGGTTCCTTCAGAAATGCAGGTCCACATATGACTTTAAGATTTTCTAAGTATGTGCCACCGTACGTGGCTACTTATTTTTAGACTTGCTTTCGCTGTGTGTGTGGGTACCTGTGGAGTCCAGACCCCCCCTGGAGCTGCAGTTACGGGTGGTCGTGAGGCACCCAGTGTGGGTGCTGGGAACGGAACTGTGGGCCTGTGCAATGCAGCAACAAGCAGGCAGATCCCAGTACAGATGGTTGTGGATGCTGGGAATTGAACTCAAGACCTTTGGAAGGGCAGACAGTGCTCTTAACCACTGAGCCATCTCTCCAGCCCAAGACCCACATTTAATATTATCAAAATACACCTTTACATAATTGATGGCCTCTTTTATTTTCTGTTTTCGAAGAGAGGGTTTCTCTGTGTAGCTTAGGCTTGCCTTGAATTTGTTATGCATCCTTGGCCGGCCTCAAACTTTTGATCCGTAGCCTACTGAGCCGTAGGAACACGGGCATATGCCATTATGCGTGGCAACTCTTTATTTCTTAGCGGTGTATGAAATAAGGGTATTATTTAATTAGTAGAGTTTTTATATTTGAAGAAATGTAGTGTTAGGATACTTTTTTTTTTTAATCGCAAGTTTCACCAGCCAGAAATTTGCTGGAGATGAATAATAGAATTGTATTTTACATGAGCTCTGTCCTCACCTAGCCGGCTGTATCACGATGTCCACTTGCTCCTGTAGGAATTTTTGGCTCCTATCTATAAGAGGAACCAGTATTCTACAGCAACTCATATTGCAATAAATAGCTAGATGGCTTCTAACCCTATTCCAACAGTGCTGTGAAACTATTCTCTTATGTGTCCCTTTTTTATGGGTCCAGGCAAGAATTTCTCTGGGAAACAAAAGTAGGAGTGTTCAGTTGAAGGGTCTGTGTGTACTTAATTTTCTCTTTCCGGGCTGTATAGAGCAGTTTTCACTCCCTCCACCATTGCGTAAGAGTTCCTACTTCTCTGTAGTTTTGCCAACTTTGCAAATCTGAAAATGTATGTGTATATATATGATATTCTTTTGTTTTATTTTTAATTTTTTTGATTTTCAGAAAATACAAGCGCTTGATAGTCTCATTAGTTTCCTGGGTCAGGCTGTGAAGTGTTAATTCATAGTTTTCCTAATTTAAAACTTTCTGTTTGTGAATTTTAGTAGCTTCTTTTTTTGTTTGTTTTTTGTTTTTAGGTTTTGGTTTTTCGAGACAGGCTTTCTCTGTGAGGCTTGGCTGTTCTGGATTCACTTTGTAGACCAAGCTGGCCTCAAACTCACATTGATCCTTCTCTCCCCGAGCACTGGAACTACAGGCGTGTGCCACCACACCCGGCTTAAAGCTTCTTGTACATACTAGATGCTGTTATAGTCTTTTATTGGTTTCAGGTGGAAACCGTCTTCTCCAAGTTTTGTTGTTAGCTTGCCCTCCTCAACCATTTGTACGAACAGCGTTTTTCCTTTTGGGCTTCTACATAGACCATCATTTGCACTTAGTGGCAGTTTAATTTCCTCCTTTTGATCATTCCAATTTGTACTTCTTTTATGACAACACTGACAAAGAACTCTTTGTATTGTGTTAAACTAGCAGTGATAATGGACAGCCTTGATGTGTTTGGGACCCTGAAGAAAATTATTTTAATGTTACTGTCCCAGTTAGTCCATATTGACTGTCTTATTTAGGAGACATATTTTCTACACATAGATGCATATAACCTGATTCCATTTGCTAACCTAACTTTCACCCTCTAACACGTTATTTAATTTGCTTAGTGCTTGTTTTGCTTATATTTACTTATATTTTTACATTTATTTACTTTATATATGCATATGGTGTATATATAGTTACATATATATCAGATTTAGACATCTATGTGTGTGTATTTTATACACAGTCACATATCTATCCATCTACTTCCTTTAATAGATGTAAGTTCTAGGAAGGCAGGAATCTGTTTTGTTCACTGATATGTCAGAATGAAATAGAAATTCCGGCATAGTGGTATACACCTGCCATCTCAGGACCCAGAAAGGACAATATGACATAGAAGAATGTTTGTCACAAAGCAGACATAAAATGAACAGTTGTTAAAACGAATTCCCCCAGGTATGGTATTTGTTTCAGGTTTATTATTATTATTTTTTTTTTTTTGCTTTTATCAAGTAAGGATTTCTTTACATATATATATTACTTAATATTATTTCATATGCCTTGGTGTGAGGGTGTCAGACCTCTGGAACTGGAGATACAGACAGTTGTGAGCTGCCATGTGGGTGCTGGGGATTGAATCCAGGTCCATCTGAAAGAGTATTCAGTGCTCCTAGCCACTGAGCCATCTCTCCAGCCCTAAGTCAGGATTTCTATTTAACTCTCAACTGACTACTTTTACTATCTAGTGTAGAAATATATATGTATTCCTTCGTTCCTTCCTGTTTTTTATTCTGAGACAGAGTTTCCCTGTGTAGCCCTGGCTGCCTTGGAGCTGCTCTGTAGACCAAGCTGTCCTGGCCTCTGCCTCCCAAGGGCTAAGATAGTTCATTCCTGCTGGGCGCCACCGCCCAGCAGGAATGAACTATTTGATGGTGCTCAGTATACATCATTGGCCTTGAGAATTCTAATGTCATCTCCAGAATCAAATCACATTGAAAAAAAAAAGAGGTCTTCATGATACATTTACAGTGGCCTCATAAATGTGCAGCTTTTCCACATTTTCTAGGTTTTGAAACAACTTGTCTAACAAAGAATATCATTCTTGAAAGGCTATTAGGACTCACGTGTAAACTGTGTAGCCTTGGAGCTTTGGGGGAAAAGAACAGGCTACATCTCTGATTAGCATTTGAATGTTTTAAATATTATGGTCTGTTCAGAGTTTTTGATGGTAGCGGCTCTGTTTCTCTAGGAATACATGTCTTGTTTAGGTCTTAAAGCTATTGCCATATTTTGCTCCTAAACATTTCATTTCTAGAATCTCTGTAGTATGTAGTTATTGATAGTTCTCGTATTCTTTATTTTTTTATTTGTGTATCTTTCATTTTTGTCCGGTCAAGCTTGCAAGAGACTTAAGAACTACCTTTTAGTGTGTGCAATCTTTCCTGGTTTTGATGTCTCCCTTTTTCTTCTGCCTTCTTTGAGTTTGCACTGATAACTTTTAAGTATGTTGAATGCTTAGCTCATTTCTTTCTTATGCCATGTTTTCTGGCAATATACATGGAAATAGAAATTTCTTATCAAATTTTGACTCCCCCTTCCCATCCCGCCACGACCACTGGGCATTGACTCCAGGGCTTGAGCAGGATAGGGAAGCATTTCAGCTGCTGAGGTTTACTGCAGCATTTTATTTTCTCTTTTTGAACTTGTAAGAGCTTTTTGATGCGAGAGTAATTAGAACAGTATTCTACTCCTAGGTATAGTAATAGCTTATTTTTCCTGTTGTTTATGGTTCCTTTTTTTTTAAAGCTCCGATAATCCATTAAGAACATCTGTTGTACACTTTCAAAGTTTTTAATATATTAAATTGAATCAAAGATGCGCTTTGTTATAAGATGAAACATTTTATGTTCTACTAAGAAAGAAAAAATTGGAATTATACCAGATAGTTTCCTGTCTTTTAGAATTTTCATTTTGTACTTAATTTTTATGAGCCAGGTATGATTGCTCACACCTGTAATCCCAACACTAGGCGAGGCCAAGGCAGGCTGATCTCTGTGAGTTCAGGCAGCCTGGTCAACAAAGCAAGTTCAGGACGGCCAAGGCGACAGGGTCTCGGAAAACAAAACAAAACAAAACAAAACAAAACAAAACAAAACAAAAAATATATATATATATATTCACTTTTATTTATTAGGTTTAATGGTGTGTGGGTGGGTGGGTGTGTATGCGCGCGCGCATAAGTGGCCAGAGGTACAGATCTCCTGGAGCTGGAGTTATAAATGGTTGTGAGCTGCTTTGCATGGCTGCTAGGAGCTGAACTCAGGTACTTTGGAAGAGCAGCAATTGCTCTTAACCACCTCGAGGTCTCTCCAGGCTCTTTGTACTTCTTGATAGAGCTCTTTATTAGAAGTTCTTTTACATATATTTAGACATACAGGTTTTTGTGGTCAGGTTATTCTTTGCAGACATGAAAAGAAATATATATAATAAAATTAATATTTTTCTAAAATTTTACTAGAGCTATTTTGCCAGAGTGACTACAGATTGTTCCTAATTAAAATATGCATTCATTTTTCAATGTTAAGTTATAAAAATACATGAATCAGTGAAATGAGATCTATTCTAATATCAAATATTGAAAGGTGTATTTTTTCGTACACCAAGTTGGAGTTAAATGTTTCGATATCACACAATCGTTTCCATATTTTCCCTGAGAGGATTTAAAGAGATCATTTGGTCCTCGGGAGAGAACTTAATCTCTTAATCATGCTTATATCATAGAGTTTCAAAGAAAGAATTGAGTACTTTAATGGTAGAAGTCAAGGCCAGAAATGATTGCATTGAAACTGAATCAACAAATCACAGCACTAAAGATGGCTTTGCTTCTTTTCCCTTTTCCCCTCTTTAAGGCAAAAGCAACAACAATCAAAGAAGCCCTGTCCAGATGGGTGAGTAGGTGGCTTTTCCTTCCTTAAGAAGCTACATGAGAAAAGTTTGAACTGTTGTTTACATCTGACCATTTAGCAAAAGAGAATCTTTTGATTTTGTGGCAGTGGGTGCCTGAGCCTCCACAGGTAGTGAAATTGTATAGGGGTTAACATGTCATATAAATACATACACTCATTAAACACAAATGGTATCAGGCAGAGTGTAGAAAATCTGAGTACAGTGATGGATCTTATCAATAACCCTGGTTGTGATATATTATAGTTCTGCTGAACATTATCACACACATCTTTGAGGGTGTGTGTGTGTGTGTGTGTGTGTGGTGCTGAGGGTGGATGGAACCCAGGGCCTTACTCATGCTAGACAAGTACAGTACTGTGGTGTGCACAGCTAACTCCTGAATTACTGTTTTAACCACTGAGCCATGCATCTGTCCTGCTTTATAGCTAGACTTTGAATAAAAGTCTGTCAGCAGCCTAGGTATCTGGGAAATAGACAGAAGTGAATAGGATAATGAGATATTCGAAATCTGATTTAGTGCCTATAAATGTCTGCATTTGTTCTAACTGTGTTTTAAGGATTTTTTCTTGGTTGGAACGGGGCCGGGGGATGGCTCAGTAGTTAAGGTGTTTGCTGCAGTTCAGCTCTCCAGCACCCAGGGAAAACACCAGGCGCACTAGCACCTGTAAATCCCAGTGCTGAGGAGGCGGAGCCAGGAGGACTCCTGGGGATGACCAGCCCAGCTAGCTTGCCGGTGAGCTCCAGGTTCAGGGGGGACACTCAGAAAGGAGTGTAGATGCTGGGGGTGAGGCTCAAAGGTAGTGCTCTCCCCGAGTGTGCACAAGGCCCTGGGGTTGATCCCCAGCACCACATAAAATGGCGCAGGGTGATGCTGCCTAGAATTTGGGCATTCAGCAAGCGAAGGTCGTATGATCAAGGCTGCAGGTGACTGCATAATATGTTCCCCGTCAGCCTGAGATCCAAAAGACCCTGGCTCCAGAAACCAGAAATAAGGGTGCCTGAGGAAGACCCAGTCTCGGTCTCAGGCTTTCACAGGCACACTTGCGCAAGTGTGTTTGCACACATGAACACACACAAACACATTTCTGCTGGGCCAAATATTCCATAACATTTGTTAATGAAAGAGTATAGATGAGACTCAGATTTGATCTTCCTTAAGTTGTATTTTAGGACTTTACCTATTCATAATAACTAATATTTGGGGGTTTTGTTTTAGCTTCTTTTGGTTTTGGTTCATAGATTCCATTTCTAGTTAGATTATGGCTAACAGTCTTCGCCTTTAAGATCTTTGAAGCATTAAGTCTTTTCTTTCATTGACTAACCCAACACTCTTCTTTTAACATTTAAAAGTCTTAACTGACATGTAATGATTGTACAGTGTGAGTTTTGGTACATATTTAAAACAGGTAATTATTCTATCAAGGTACAGATCTTTGACCTGGGATTTTTTTTTTTTTATTACTTCTTGTAATAAAAATCTTCTTTTATAGCTCTTTTGGATCATGTGATTTATGGCCATACCACCCTGATTGCACCCAGTCTTTTCTGAAATGTACAAGTTTACCACAGTCACTCTACTGTGCCAGAGAACACTCCAGCTCGCTCCTCCTATCTGATTTTGACTTTCCTTCCTTTTCTTCCCAGCCTCTGGTAACCATTAGTCTACTCTTGACTTCTGTAAGATAAGATCAACTTTTTTAGCCTTCATTCATGAGTGAAAACATGAAATATTTATCCTTCTGGGCATTTTGCATTTCATCCAAAACAAACAACAACAACCAATAAATAAATAAATAAATAAAGAGTCCTTTCAGCCCATCATGTTGGCACAAATAATCCAACACTGAAGATTACCAAGTGTCAGTTTCCTATGCCCAAACCTAGAAATATGATGAAAATAAGCATAAGAGGCCAGGGGATCACTTCGTTGGTAGAGTGCTTGCTGCCAAAGGAAGCTGAATTCAGATCCCCAGAAGCCATGTAAAGTGCTGGGTCTACCTCTCGGGTTGAGGGAGTGAGGACATGAAGATGCCAGGGCATCCGCCTTGCCTCTGCCTGCCAAGTGCTGGGCTTAAAGGCGTGTGCCAACACTGCCACTGACTCTTAGAGGATTTAAAATATTACAAATCAAAGTTCTTTCCATTTGTGAGGTCTTAACAGTTTTCTGGCCCAGGTATATAGAAACATGGCTAAGGCCAACAAGTGCCTTAACTCACAAATGCCAGGAAGTGAATGGTGAATAATCTAAGTTATTAAAGTGTAATAGTTATTTTGAAACCCACATTGAAAGCCTTGTGAAATTCTGACCTCTTTTGCAACCATGGATCATATTGTGCCAAATTAATTTTTCCCATAGGAAGAAAAGACTGGTCAGAAGCCATCTGAGGCCAAAGAGATAAAGCTATATGCCCAGATTCCCCCGATAGAGAAGATGGATGCCTCTCTATCTACACTTGGTAACTGCGAGTAAGTTCCCCCTTCCCATCGCTTATTGCTGTTAAGTTTTCCTTCCTTTTCACACACAGACTGGAAAAATGGTTTATTTCTTTCTGTGGTCTTTGTTGTTGTTTATTGTAATTTCTCTCTTGACAACGCCAAATGTGAATAATTATCAGTTTATGAGATTATTGATAGAGTAATACTGAACAATACAAGCTTTTCTTGTGCAGTTTTTCTAAAACGATTGTAGATAGGGGTTTCCTAGTCTTCTGGGAGAAGCTAAATAACACAACAAATTATTACTGTGTTAGTAGTCCACTCCCTAAGCAGGGAGATAGTAGTTCAGACCTGGGCAAACTTCAAAGACTCTGTTTCAAAAGAACATAAAAAATAAAAATCAAAAGGTCGGGGGAAGGACACTGGAGAGCTGGGTCCATGGCTCAAGCACTTGCCAGCCATTGAGAGCTGGAGCTCAGTCTCCAGAACCCACATCAGGGCTGGGTAATGCCAAGCTCAGAAGGCAGAGACATGACACCACCAGAGCAAGCTCTCCATGTCAGTGATTGAGAGACCCTGCCCCAGTGAATCAGGTGGGAGAGAGACGGAGGGTTGTTCAGGAGCGTGGGACATCAATACCAGGTCTCCACCTGTGTGCGCACACATGCACAGCACACACACAAATGGTAAAAACTGGGCTGAGGTCAAACTCATTAGACAAGTACTTGCCTAGCACTTGTATGTGCAGGGCCTTGAGTTCCACCCACAGTGGAACAGTAACAAAGTAGTAAAACAATCTAACAGTTTGTTGTTTATTGCTTTCTCTTGTAATGTTACCTACCAAAATCAAAATCACATTTACTTACTAGATGCCTAAGAGACAGCTCAAACAACAAAACAAAGGAAAAACCAACAACTTTAAAATATTGTTCAAAATGCCTGGAAAATACAATAAATATGAAAAAAAAAAAAAAGAATTAACATCAACCTAGGTTGCAAGACATCGTGGCACTAGTATTAGCATTTTGAGAATGATTCTAATTAGGCTGGGCATGGTGTCATATGCCTGTAATCTCAGTCCCTGACAGGCTGAGGCTGGTAAGTTGAGGCAGGAGGATCATTAGCATAGGGTCAGATAATGAGATTCTGTCTCAAAAAAACAAACAAAAAATTCTAATTGGGATCAAATTATATTCATTTTGTAATCTTACTTTCCAGGTCTTTAAATATCAGGTGATATTAATTCCTTCGGTTTGTTTTCTAGCGTCCTGTGCAGTTTTTAGCAGTGCTCTGTGCTAACTGGGCACAGTTGTACTGTGAGACATCATACTTGTGCTTTCATGCTTCCTCATCTCTTGTCAGGGCTGTAGAGTACTCGAGCTCCTGAGGTCCTTTCCTGTCCTTCACCCTGCCTTTATCTAATCGTTGCCCTTTCTGTAGTAGATAAGCCCAATCCCAGCTTCTCAGAAGCAGACTGTCTCCTAATGCAACCCTAATGTCTTACTCACAGTAAGCGAATTGGACTGCTCTTAGACAATCTCTGCAAACCTATTAGACTGATGTCTTTGGAGTAAAAGGAAAAGCAAACATAGTTAGTTACTGATTGCCACTCAGTCCTTGTGATAAAAACATACTGCAGCACAGGAGGAAAAGTTTGCTCCAACTGTGACTGCAAAGTAATCAAAATACGTTTTTGCAAAGCCACGGAAAGGCAGTGAGTGTGAGGTTTGTATGACACACCAAAGCGCACCCTCAGAGTGTGAAAGGAAGAGGCAGCCTGCTTGGGTTTTTGCAGACATCTTTTGGACAGGCTGCCTAAAGAGGAATTAGAGAATTCCTTCCGAAGCATAGTCTTAGATTAATTTAAAGGCATTCCCTTTTCTATTCGTAGTGCTCATGAGTGAGCGAGTGACTAGAAAATATGCAGCTTTGACCCTTTACATGCCAGGTACTTATATAGTAATTGCCTTTGCTTTTTCAAGCAGATTAAAAAAATGAATAATTCCTGTTCAAGTCAAATCATGAGGGTAAGATACATGTTTGAGGGTTTTAATTTTGGCTCTGCCACTTTGTAACTGTGTAATATTGGGAAAATGTTTAACAGCTTTGTACCTCAATTTCATTTGTAAAATGCAGTAAAAATAATATCTCAGAGAACTATGAAATATGAGATCAAAGGATACATGTACTAAACATTTAATAATAACACCAACCTGCCCTTAAAAAGCTTGTTTTTAATCCTCTACGAGTGTATATTAACTTTAGTAATCAATGGGGAAAGGATTCAAAATGAAGAAATAACTTCTATGACTGAAGCAGAAAAATGGATTCAGTATAAAAAGAAACATGAATTAAAAATCTTCCATGGGCATTACTATTAAGAAGTAACTTCTGACATTCCACTTAGGTTTTTCATATTAATTAAAGTTCTCCTTTGTTCTTTTAAAGGAAGCTTTCCCTGTCTACAAACTGCATTGAAAAAATTGCCAACCTGAATGGCCTAAGTAAGTGATCCACAGTAACAGACGGCTCTTGAATTTCTAGTTATTGGAGCGTACATTCCAGAGACACTGTGTCATTCCGGAGGCTGGCACCTGTTTTTATCACAGCAAATGTCAGATGATAGAGACTATATGTAAACCATGTCTTAAGTTTCGTTATCTGAGAGACTGACAGAGAGAGAGGGAGGAAAAGAGGAGAAAGAGATGGCGTGAGATCTCAATATTTAAAGTCCTCTGAAAGCTTTTAGAGACTTAAAGTTGGGATGGCTGAGACAACGAGGTTTCTGATTGTGTCTTTTTTCGTTCAGATTTGTCTTGTGTGTGTTTTGAACTTGTAGTTAAATTGTAGTCCTCGCTGTCCCTGTGGTCTCTGTGAACAGTGCCATTGCCCGCCCTCCCAGCTGTCATGGCTTCTTATTTGTAATGGCTGGTTAGTTTCTAATGGCTGCTGCAATGTAGTGACTTAAGTGACAGAAACTTATTCACTAACAGTTTTAAAAGTTGCAAATATGAAATTAGTTTCACTGAGCCAAAAATCAAGCCTCTCTCTGAGACTTTTAGGAAGAGTCTTTCTCTTGCTCATTCCCTTTTCTGGTGCATGCCTCATTCCTTGGCTTCTGACTTCCTCGTGTCAGTTTCTGCTTTTGTGGTTCAAGTACTTTGTGTTGTGTCTGTGTCAAGCCCCGTGAGAACGCACGTGCACTGCAGCACACCCGGGTGGTGAGGGTGGTCCCTGTCTCAAGAGTTCTTCCTTTCTTTTGTTCTTTTGTTTTTCTTTCTTTTTTTTTTTTTCAAGACAGGGTTTTACTGTGTAGTTCTGGCTGTCATGGAACTTACTATGTAGACCAGGCTGGCCTTGAACTCACACAGATCTGCTGGCCTGTGCTTCCCAAGTGCTGGCCCTATGGCAAGATCTTAGGGCATCTGCAAAGGACTTTTGTGCCACACAAAGCAACAGTTGCAGGCTCCAGGGACTGGCATGTAGGTATCTTTGGGGGAGCCACTATCGGTCTACAGCACTCCCCACCGCACAACCCCTGCTCCAAGTCTGCCACTGAACCCTCCTTATTCTCCTCTGAGAAGAAGCACTCAGATGATTGCTGCTGTCTTCAGGAGCTGAACCTTTCATGTAGAGCCGTAGCTTCCCTGTAAGTTTTGCAGAAAAAAAATACATTTGAATTTATTATACATTCCTGTAAATATACAAATCAAATGTCATACATAAACTGGGACAGTTTGGAAAACAGTTTATGCCCTCATAACATAGGTTCTAGCGTGCATTTTAAACTTCATTTTTTATGTCAGTCCTAACACTAAGTTTGCGTGTTCTGGGTGTGTGTGGGTGCACATGTGTGCATGTATGTGTTTAGGCAGAGGCCAACATTGGGTATCCTTCTTCAAAAGCCATCTACCTTGTGTAAAAAAGGCTTTTTTTCAGCTGGGCCATGGTGGCTCATGCCTTTGATCCCAGCACTTGGGAAGAAGAGGCAGGCGGATCTCTGAGTTCGAGGCCAGCCTGGTCTGGAGAGCAAGTTCCAGGACATCTAGGACCACACAGAGAAACCCTGTCTCAAGAAACCAGAATAAAATAAAGTAAAATAAGGCTTTTTTATTGTCCTGTTGCTGACCAAGTAGGCTAGGCTAGCTAGCCAGCCAGTCCCATCATTCTGCCTGTTTTCACCTTGCTCCACTGGGATTCAAGCATCCAACATACCAGCTTTTGTCATCAGACTCAGGTCTTTATGCTGGCACTGAACTCTCCACCCAACCCACAACACACTAAATTGATTTCACTACCTATTAAAGGGTCACGGCTTGTGTCATTTGAGAAGCCTCTGGACTCTTCTAACCGCATCTTAGCTGACCCTTTCTCTTTCTGCTCTTCAGTTAACTTACTGATGCCAGATGCTCATTCTGACAACACTGTTCTCCCAGACCAGAGACCTGTTAGTTCTTCATCTTTGCCTGATAAGATTTAATGTCTGGTGGTGCACTCACTCATCCAAAAGCTTGTACTGCCTAGTCATTCTCATAGCATACTTTTTTTTTTTTTTTGCTTGTTTGTTAGTTTTCTTTGATTGCTTTTGTTTTTGTTTCAGACAGGGTCTCACTGTGTAGCCCTGGCTGCCCTAGAATTCACTGTGTAGACCTAGGTAGCCTCAAACTCACAGAGCTCTACCGGCCTCTGCTTCCTGGGTGCTGGGATTAAAAGTGTGCATTGCCATGCCTGGCCATACATTTTTTTTAAAATAACTTTTGTCCATTTGCTTATACAGTGCTTCTCATCGAGTACAGTTTCATGATCTCACAAGAAAAACCCTGTAAGAAATTAAGGTCAGGATTAAGAATACCATATTTAAATGCCACCTTCTGGGCTGGAGAGATGGCTCAGAGGTTAAGAACACTGGCTGTTCTTCCACAGGTGCTGAGTTCAATTCCCAGCCAACCACATGGTGGCTCACAACCATCTATAATGTAATCTGGTGCCCTCTTCTGATCCGCAAGCACATATGCAGGCAGAATGCTGTATAAAAATAAATAAATCTTTTTTAAAAATGCCACCTTCTCTCTAAGACTTCTCAAATGTCCACCACCGTAATCACTACTTTGAGAATACTTACAATAATTTACTTTGGGTTTTAATATTTACCTACTGATGTAATTATTGAAAAGACCAAATGAGTTCGTGTATATAAAGAATAGACTTGTGTATGGTACATACAAAATGATGACCAAAGCTGGATGTGGTAGTGTAGGCATATAACTGAGCTACGTGGGAGGCCGAGGAAGGAGTTTGAGGCTAGCATGAGCAACCTTTGTAGGACCTTGTCTCAGGGATAAAACCTTGTTCAAAGGGGGAAGGACTGAAGCTAGGCATGGCAGCTCATGCCTATGCTCTCAGTACTTGGGAGACTCAGGCAGAATGATCTTTGCAAGTTCAAGGCCAGCAACATAATGAATGCTACGCCAGCTTGGGCTACAGAGTGAGGCCTTGTCTCAAAAGAGGGGGGGCTGGTGTTGAGTTTCAGTGGTAGAATGCTTGCCTGCTGTGTAGAAGGCCTGGGTTCAGCCTCCAGAACTAAAAAGCAAAACAAAAAGCCTTCAGGAAAGATTATCAAGGGTCAGAGTTGGGTGTGTGTTCTGTGCTTTGGGGGAAGCACTGTGCCTTGGAAACCCTCCTGTCTTCATGTGAGGCAGACCCCTTACCCTATGATGAATGCTTGGGAGAAACTGTAGAAGGAAGGATTTGCTTTGGCTCATGGTTTTAGAGTTTTCAGTCAAGCTCATCCAAATCGTTGCTTTTGGCCTGAGAGCAGATGTACACCTTGGCAGGGTGTCATGGCAGGACGCTTGGTTGTGCTTCCCAAAAGTGAGAGGAAGAGGCCGCAGACAAGGCGTATCGCCAGGGTATAACCACACTGGCCTGCTTTCCCCCTTGTCTCCATGTCCTAGTTCCCACTGCCTCCCACTAATGCTACATACTCTGGGTCCATCAAGGGATTAATCTATTAATGAAATCAAAACCATCATGATCCAGTCAGTTCCCTGAAGTTCCACCTCTGAAAATTATTGTGTTTGGAACAAAGCCTTTAATAGATGAGCCTTGTAGGCTCATATCCGAACCATAGTGTCTGTCCCAGTCTACTCTGCACCCCCATACCTCACTGTCTTTGAGTATTCAGGGCTGGAGGGAAGTGTTCTCTGCTACTAGGCTTGTGTCTAAAATGGTGCCTTCATTTCCATTTTCACTGACTCACTAATAATTTAGGCTATTTCAGGTTTTTCCTCTGCTTGGATTTCTTTGTAATTAAAGTAACTACAAAAGACCACTTGTGGGACTCTTTTTTCCAATGTGGACTCTGAGAAATGAACTGGGGTTGTCAAGCTTGGCAGCAAATGTCTACTAAACCAGCTTGCCTGCTCCCTTGCCTATTTTGTAGTAGAGTCTTTTTGACTGACTATGTAGAGATGCTTATTCTGTAAAGTTTCTTAGAGTGTTGCTCTACTAGATTCATGATAGTTGTGTGTCTGCTTCTCACAAACAAAACGCTTTCTTTCCATGACAGAAAACTTGAGGATTTTGTCCTTAGGAAGAAACAACATAAAGAACCTAAATGGACTGGTAGGTTGTTGTTTATTACTTTTTAAAAAGCATGTATTTTTCTCATAAAAATAACATTGTTTTGTTTTTTGAGACACGGTTTCTCTGTGTAGCCCTGACTGTCCTGGAACTCACACTATAGACCAGGCTGGCCTGGAACTCAGAGATCCGCCTGTCTGTGCCTCCCTCTGAACCCTGGGACTAAAAGTGTGTGCTGCCACACCCAGCTGAAAATAATGTTTTTATATTGTAGACAGTTACAATTAGAAAAACAAATATGGCATGTAGCCACAAACCACTGACAGTTTAAAACTGCTCACATTTTGCTTGACTGCTATGCTGTTTTGTATCGCTTTTTTACCTTTATTTGTTTATTTTTGAGTCATATTTATTTCTAGTGTGTGTGTTTGTTTATGCTTGTGCCATGGCAACAGTGTGGATGTCAGAAGACAGCTTGAGAGGATTGGTTCCCTTCCACGAGTGAGTCCTGGGGATTAGACTCAGGGCACCGGACTTGGAGAAATCATGATTATGCTCTGAGCCATCTCACCAGCTCAGTGTCTCCTTTTAAAATTTAACATGCACAACTTTTCATGTAATCTGTTCAGTAAGTCCATGTGATCTGTTTCCTGAATGCCTATGTGTGTGTGTGTGTGTGTGTGTGTGTGTGTGTGTGTGTGTGTGTGT